TCGTCATAAAACGATAAATAGTTTGTCAAATTTTTATTCATAAAAATGCAGTTTCAACTGCTTTTTATTTTATAAAATCCGTCTTCTTGCGCCACCAGAGGGCCTTTTAAACAATAGGTAGTCTGTTAGCGTTGGTCAGTAGTAGTCCAAATTCAATACGAACGTTTGTTTCTTAAAAATTTGATTACGATTTAAATATATTGTTTACTTTTAATATTACCGATATGTCATCAAAAAGAAAACGTGTTGTATTATCATTAGAAGACAAATTAAAGTATTTGTTTCGATTATCCGGATTTTCCCTTATCCGGACTACCTTCATCCCCAATTAGTCCGGATAATCGAGGTTCTACTGTATCTTGAAATTTGAAGTGGAAATTTTGTCTGAATTAACTTATGATATGCATATGTTAATTTGTATATTTAGATCATATGTTTATCTGTCATATGTTAGATCCTCTATAGTATAATAGAACAATAGACCACATACAACTCTAATCTGGTCAACTGGCTTTTATTTTACAGTAACACATTTTCAGGTATCACTTTACCCATTGACTACCCTTTTTCTCTTATCTCATAAAATATGGCTGGGTTTTGGGTGTGAGGTCTCAATTGTCAGTTCTGTATAATTTAATATCTCTTCAATTTCTAATTATAAAAATATTAATCATCAGATTAATTTTTCCGAAAATATATTTCAAGCACTTATAAGTTAAAGACAATTTTTCCCAAAATCTCTTACTTACTATTGATTATGTCCCCTGCAATGGATGCTAAGTTTTGGGGAATTCAATTTACATGCATAACACAATTAATATTTTTATTAAATTTATTTAATTACTTAATTTTAGACAAAATCACTAATATAAATGATTAAACAATGTTTGCATCAATCTTTTGCCATCAAATCAAAATTATTTATAGGAACTCTCAAAAGTAAACAAATTTTTGATTTTAAAGTCTAATAGAATTCTGTGATGATAAAAAAATCAAATCTGATGGACTAACATCAACAGTCAACACATTACAGACATTAAGTAATATTTCATACAGATAATATAAACCTCTGATTTCTAATGATTTCATATTATAAATAAGATATCAAGAACGAATAATAATACTGTAATTTGAATCTCCATTAAAAAAATAAATAAATAAACAAAAACAAAAATACAGTAAAGAGAAACATAAAACTTACTATTAAAAAATATTTAACAATCATCAAAAAATGTTATCACCTGACCTGTTAATTGTTTTTCCAAATGTGATCTGTACAATGGTGATAAGAGTTTTTCGGACCCAACCAAAAATTCCTTTAACTTCAAATATTTCTCCAATCAATGTATAAAGATTTTCTGCAATTGAATCTTTTCTATCTTCTTTACTACAAAGCAAAATGTTAATTCATTATATATTGATAAATAAACAAATGTAAATAAACTTTATAAATTCATTTTAAAATATTGCTTCTTAGAGAAATGTAGTCATTTGTCATCTGTTATAATTATATTTACTTATTTCATTTTGATTTAAAGGAGTAAAAGTAAAATTCTGGTTTTTTTCTTTCAAAATTACATAAAAAATTAAATTTTAAAATACAGTAGAACCTCGATTATCCGGACTAATTGGGGATGAAGGTAGTCCAGATAAGGGAAAATCCGGATAATCGAAACAAATACTTTAATTTGTCTTTTAATGATAATACATGTTTTCTTTTCAATGACATATCGGTAATATTAAAAATAAATACTGTATTTAAATCGTGATCAAATTTTCAAGAAACAAACGTTCGTATTGAATTTGGACTACTACTGACCAACGCTAACAGACTACCTATTGTTTAAAAGGCCCTCTGGTGGCGCAAGAAGACGGATTTTATAAAATAAAAAGCAGTTGAAACTGCATTTTTATGAATAAAAATTTGACAAACTATTTATCGTTTTATGACGAGTAAAATTTTTTCGTCGCGTTCGCGGCTTTTAAGTAATGCATAAACCTTCGAGGCGCGAGGCCCTTCGGACCGCGAGGCATAGGCGGTGGCCCACGTCGTCCATGCCTTACGCCGCCCTTGGTCATAGAAATGATGTAATTTGAATATAAATTATTTATAAATACGTATGTCAAGTTATATTTTTATTACTACGTAAAATATATTTAAGAGTTTACGACCACTGTGCCAGGTGAGACGTTGTTGAAAGAAAAAATATTGTCCATTCCATCACATACATAAACGGTGTCGTAATTCGCCAAGTGCAAATCAGCAAATTCGTAAAATTTTTGTTTATTTTGAACAATCCGGATAATAGAGGTCCGGATAATCGAGGTTCTACTGTATAATATAGAAAGATAACAAGTGATTACTATCATCTAATGTATTGAATAAATATATTAAATACTAATAATTTCATTGTAATTTACTAAAATTTTCTTTTTTTTTTTAAATTATGATAAATAATGAAATAATGTTTTGCTAATTTTTAACAAAGATAAAATTGAATTTTATTGTTATGTTACTGTTTTTTTTTCTCTCTATACGCCTGAAATTCATTTTACAAATTATGTAAAAAAACAAAGAAAACCTAAAAATACTCAATTTATTGGTATAAAAACAAAAAAAAACATTATTATAATTTTCTTTCTTCTTAAAATAAACCATTATAATATCATAGAAAAGGAAGTAATTAAAATCAATAAATTTTAAAAATTATTAGCTCTCTCCATGTTCAATAAAATTTATTTTTACACAAAAGTAAGAAATAAAATTTTTTTGAGAAACAATCTCTTCCAAAAGTGACTTTTAGAAGCAAGTCAAAATATATTATCAATACTTTTCCAAAACTTTTTCAGTATGCTGCAGTTATTTAATGAAAACTATCTATAATTTGTACCTATACTAAAGTTTACTATGTTAAGAAATGATCAAAATACCATCTTATCCTTTGACCTTTTAAAGTTTATTTATCCAATTTACCCATATAAATATTAAGTCCTCTTCATTTTTGGATTGAATTTTCTCATTTTGAAATCAGTTTAAGATTCATTTGTTAAAATTTAAAAATCAATTAAAATAGCAAAAACACTTAATGATAAGTTTTTAAAATTTTATCTTTTAAAATGACATATTTTGATAAATGTTCAATAAGCTATTTTACATCACATAAGTATTGTACATAGCAAAATTTCAGATATAAATATCTTTTTATGTGAAAAACTACAACTACGAATACTACAAAACTTCAATACAAACTACAAATCTTATGTAAAAAAATACAATTTATGACTATTGTGATGAATTAACTGCAAAAAAGAACTGTTTTATGAATTAAAAGAAAATTCTTTTTAATACAAATAAAAGCTAATATAAATACTATTTAAATAAAACAAATCTTATTAAATATATCCAAAAACTTTCATAAATTACCTGTCAATATCATCAAGAAATAATAATTCATCTTCATCACTTCCTTCAGATTGTGCACTAGATTGAGCACTAGAAATATATTAAAAACATAATTTAATTCAAAACTGAAAAAAGATCATCTTAATTATATATAGCTCTTATTAAATTTATTTATTGAAGTATTCTGTAGTAAAAACTTCATTAATTCAAATATAAATAGACTGGATTCCATGTAATTTGAATCAACTACCATCATTGTAGTCATAAAAAGAATCATGACTACGATTGAAAAAGACCAACACTTCTGTAAACGTTTTGAAATTTTTCTAAAACTGTAGAACTTAAAAAATTCTCTCAACAATACAAATTATATGCAATTTATACAGTATTAATTTTCAATATTTTTCTTTAATTGATTTGGATTAATTATGTTTATTATAAAATAGATTTAAATGAAATTTCAACAAAAATATTTTATTTAAAAGTTTTCTTTTGTTTTTAAATTCAAATTTTAATTTTAAAAAATTAAAAAATTGAGATGCAATAAAATAATTATTAATATCTGAAAATAACAGTAAAATTAATAAGAAGTTATACATTAAAGAATACTAAAAAATTTTTAACAAAGACAAAACTTCTTTTTGGAAATTGTAAAAATTTGATGTCATTTTCTGTTAAAATTTAATTTTATATCATAAACAAACATGATGGATTTATGATCAAATGAAAATCAAGCACTACTAAAAATCATTATTATACAAACTAAATTACTAACTTAAGTATGAAATTAGCTTCAATTATATATTAAATATGCTGTATAATTTTTACATAATTACATATTAATTATATTCTCTAAAAACTGCACTTATCTTAAACCACAGTATTACTACTCAAGCATTTAAAATGCATTACAATTTTAACTTTGAAATATTTTTGGTCATCTTAAATTACCTTCAGAACAAAACAAATTTCAATTTAAAAAGAATGAAAGCTGAAATGTCCTGTGGAACAAGTTGATTTCAAATATTAATGTTTTAGAACAATGAAAGTTTAAGTGCATGTGTCTGACTTTTATGTACAGAGACATAAGAAAGAACCTACAGAGTTTGTCATCTTAAGCCCAAATCTAGTAGTGCCTTCCAATACTAACAGTGTCACATTCTATAATTTGTTTATTTATACTTTAATCTATGTAAAAGTCAGACACATGCATTTAAACTTTCATTATTCTAAAACATTAATATTTGAAATCAACTTGTTCCACAGGACTTTCCAGCTTTCACTCTTCTTTTTAAATTGAAATTTATTTCTATCTGTCCTGAAGAAAATCATTTAAGATGACTAAAAATGTTTGAAAATTAAAATTGTACTGCATTTTAATGGTTTTAGTAGTAGTACTATGGTTTACATGTTAAGTATATTTTAATTTGATTAAGTTATTGTAATTAGATCCTAACATTTATTTTAAGCTAAAACTTTTATTCATTAAAAAAATAACATCTGTATTTTAATATGATAAATTACAAGTTACTTATTTACAAAATAAAAAAAAAGAGTAACAGTAACTTAGTGTATATTTTTCATTAATTAATTTACATAATAAAACTGTTTTTAGTTATTAATTTAAATTAAGGAATTATAGAAACTTCTTTTCAATAAGTCTTTATCAAACTTCTGGGTATGAAAAAAGAACTATTTTGAATGAAAAATGCAATTAAATCCATCAAAAATATAACCAAATTATAATCTGGTAATATTTTGATGGATTTAATTTCATTTATTAATCTGTTTATAATCAAACAGTCTGTTCAAATAATTATATTTTTAAAATTATCATGACTTTAAATCAGAAATAGATTTTATGTCTGTAGAAATAAAAAATATAATCAATTTGAGAAATACATAAATAATAAGATAGCTTTTATGACTTGCAGCTAGTCAATAAAAACAGAACAGAAAAATAATGAAGTAATTGGTGACACATAATTGATTAATTTTTGATTATTATTATGTCTTACTTCACTCACAGAGAGGAATTAATTAATACATAATTGATATAATGAAAATGCATTCTTAGAAATTGGAATCAAAATTTGAAAATCAAATCATAAAAAATTACGTTGTAATTTTTATTTTTTTCTAGCTAATGTATACATGTTTTACATATATATTGAATGTTATTATTCATTCATTCTTGAATGAATTTCTCTCATAATCAGCCCATTAGTAAATATATCATCCCAAAATCTATAGTAAATCTGATATAGACCAAAAAAAAAAAAAATGTGTAAAATTAGTAGTCAGTAGTTACTGATTTAATTTAATTATAGAATAAATGTTACTAATACTGTATTAATAAACTTAAAAGTACCTTTTGAAGAATTGCATAAGTACACCTTTAATAGATTTTTTTCGTGGTTCTAATGGATACTTTAAATGATCTGGACTTGGACTTAAAAAAATATATAAAGTCTCACTTTTATTCATATCATCATTTTTCATAATTACCTAAAAGAGAGATGCATGTTATAATATAATCATAACTGAATATAAAGAACAATGAGATTTAAGAAATCCAATGTGTACACTCTGTTTAAAAAATGATGCACATTGAAGAAATTATTCTATTGCTATGGTACATACAACGAATATGTAAAGCTAAAGAAATGATTACATTTTCATTGCAAAAGTAATAAGTCATGTTAATATATATTAGAATTGCCTCTGCTGGTGACATAAACCAAGACAAGGTCAGGCATGAAATCAAACAACAATCTAATGTTGTTCTGTAACAAATTCCACAAGATGTTCTGCAATTGTTGGGCTAGTTTGTTCACATTTTGTGGTGATTGTAACTGCCTTCCTAGCTTATCCCACACATGCTCAATGGTGAGAGGTCTGGGGATACAGCTGACTATGAAAGAGTATGAACTTTACAGAGACATTGTTCAGAGATTCATGCCATGAGGTGGCATTATCATGATGTTAAATAGCAAGGTCCTAAATTATAAGGTTACCTCGTACAGTCGGTTTAGCCACTTCCTGCCAGATTCTGGATATATGTCATCCGTAGTCGAGCAACTGCTTCACAACAGTTAGCAAGAGAAGAAAATTTTGAAATTTCATTACTTTTGTTACTTTGTTGAGAATATTTACATTCATTAATGAGAGTAGAAATTCTACTCTCATTAATCAAAAGAATTTCTACTCTCATTAATCAAAAGAACACGATTCAGACATTCAACATGGTAGAAACACAACAGCCCTAGGAACAAACACGTCAGAACAGGGGATAACAGCAAACTTAGATGAGGTGAAGATCATTATTACTAACTCCAACCCACAACAACTGAAATGGTTGGAAGCCATAGAAATATTTAAAGCGGGAATAAATAGTACATGTATTAATTATAAAGATGAAATGACCCTATCTGTAGCATGGCAGATATTGATAAATAAGGACCTATAAAAAAGAAAAATTTTACAAAGTAGTGTATACGGAACATGTGCAATACAACTGTATTATTTTGGAACATTTGCACGTCAATATTCAGAAGAAATTCATATACAGTAGAGCATTGATTATCCGACCCTCGATTAACCATCACCTCGGTTAACCGACTGCGTTCTAGTTGGCAAATTCAAATGTCTGCTAGTGATGAGGCGCTACAATATTTGGCTGTCTTGGCTACTTTAATATTATTTTTACGTGTTTTAGCTGGCAACACTCATTCGACCATGAAAGGGAGCCAGTATTTAAACGAGGCTTAATTTTCTAATTTTTAACGATACAATAGCGACGATTATTTTTTTAAAAAAATTTGATAGGCTTAACATGGAGGAAAATTCAACACAAGTAGGTTAATAGTGATATACTAATATACTAATTACAGTAGATTCCCCTATAAAACTGTTTCCTATAGTTACGATTCCTATAAGACAGCGAAAAAATTGTGGCGGTATCCATACACAACGATAAAAAAACTCCTATAATTATGTAAAACGTCATTGGGCAGCCTAACTACTTTCCCGCCGTCTGTAGCGCCACGCTACAGACGTTTAGGCGGGTAAATTGAGTTTAGTTTCATCTGTACATATAATTATATATAAATTAGGTACTATATATATAATTATATATTAACTTAATTTATTGTAACTTTATTATAATTATATATATATTTTTCGCCGTCTAGCGTCATGCTACGGCGAGTTAGGCGACCTATCGTCTGTCCAGTACTGTAATTTTATACATTTCTTGTGAAAGAAACATTTCTTATTTAACGGCCATAAAAATTATTTATATTAATGATGTCTCCAAAGGTCAACGAAGTTTTCGCAGAAAAATAATATCAGAAATCGCGGCCGCAATTTGATGCGCTGTTCCGCGACGAAACCAAGCTTTAGCAACGAGCGTAGTCAAAGGGTACACACTCGGTAAGTAATCCTACAATTTTTTGTTTATAACGTAGTTTATAAGGATTATTTCCAAAAAAATATACGTATTTTGGAAATGTTGAGTCGAATTAGTCTAGAATCGATTAATTTTATGGAAGAAAACCTTTCAAACAGCCGTAGTCCGTAAACTGTGATTCCTACAAAATTGATTCATAAAGAACAGAACGTATCTACCGTCTTATAGGGGGATCTACTGTACATGGGATATAATAATATACTACACTAATAATGGATTTTTTCATACTTTTCGGTTATCCGACTTTTCATTTATCTGACCAACCCCAGTCCCCAATTGAGTCGGATAATCGATGCTCTACTGTATAAACTTTATTCAAACAGTAACGGCCTATTCAATAAAGCCTGAGGAAGAGCCCAGGAGGGGATTCGAAAACGTTTGCAACTATAAAAAAGAACCACTCCAGTTAACAGGTTTGAAGAGTAGATATAGTATTTACACTCTTAATCTTTGAAGGTAACCTCTGTATATGGATATGATGATCATCTGCACCAAGAGAAGTGGAATTTGTCACTGAATGCTATGATTCTAATCAGACATCTTCCAGGTATTACCCATGTTGGGCTGGCTAGTAAATATTCCTCAGACAACTATAGCAAGAATGAAATTTCATCTCTTTCAAATGTAGCTGAATGGTACTACACTTGAAAGAGATACTACAGACTAAGTAGAGGGAGATGTTCCTTTGGATGAAGGATAGGGACATCATTGGTGTTGCAATGGCTGCTCTCCTAATTGTATGATCCATTTGAACACTTGTTATTCTAGAACACCCAGATACTTTATGCTGGTTATGTGTGCCATCCTGACCCACTGCTGCTATCATCATATTACTGATGCATTGCTTCAACTTAGATGGCAGTTGACAATGGTCACATTAACATCTAGTTTTATGATGTTGCACATACAACCAATGGAGAAGCTGTTGAGTCATCTTTACAGACTATTTAATGTAATCAAACAGCAAACCCTGTCAAATCTGTTCATCAGTATGAATGGTGCTCTTTTTATGAACCCCAGAATGTGCTTTTCTCTTGTGCTCTGGTGCATTCATTGACAAAAAACTTAATAATTTCCCCTGTAGCCAAATGGTATTTGCACACTAAGTTTCATGACTCTCACTCTGTTTTTAGAAGTGCATCAATTTTTTGCAACAGAATGTATATAAATGCTTTAATATTAAATATATAGTAGAATCCATCTATTACTCATGGATATTGTTATCAGAAACAGCATACCTCAAAATTACATAGTGATAAAAATAAATTACAATTACAAAAAAAAAGGATAAAAACACACATAATAAAAAGAGTTAACTTAATCTAAATGCAGATTTATATGTATAGATGTTCATGGAAAGTTGCACATCTTATTTATTTGAGTACTGTGTTTCATGCAAATTTTATCCTAACAGTTATTATAAGCCAACAAAGAGTTTATAATTTGGTCCCAATGGTTGTATTCTCAAGAATCTTAGTAAAAAAAATTATCTTCAGAACCCTAATAGATACAGTAAAATTTTAAATACAAAATTATTCTTCCTCAAAAAAAAAAAAAAAAAAACACCTTTATCATTTCTCCTGCACCAAAATCACCTTCCCTTATAAATTTTTGTGAAAAAAGGTGTAAAATTTCAGCTCAGTGTTTCTATTACTTTAAAAAATTCCACATTTTGGTGCATAAACAAAAATGCCATAAGAAAATTAATTTAATTTAATTTTACTTTCTCTGTTTAAGTCGCATTCCATTTAAAGTTAAGTTTATTTTTGATGAATTCCTAAAAAATTTCAAAAAAAAAAAAAAAAAAAATGTTTACTTTATGATGAAAAGTACCACATTTGACAAAATCCCTTCTCACAGCAGATCCTTCTCTGTAGACTACTGTTGGAGCCGGAGCTTTATCATCTTCTCTCTGTAGTCAATTTTCATCATGAAGTGAACATTTTTTATTGTTCTTTGAATTAAAAATGTGATGAAGTCCTGTTTTTACAATTTTTAAGAAATTTGTAATTATTATTTTTGGTGCTTTGTTTAGAAATTTATCCTAAAACCCAGAATTTTAATGCATTGGCAACACCATGTCAAGAATCTGTACTTTACAACAATTTTTTTATGAAAACCTTATAAGGAAAGCCAATTAAGATAAAGGTGATTTTTTACTATTTGGAGGATGAGAACAACTTTGCAATTGGAATTTTCATTCCAGTCAAATAAATCAGTTGCACAACTTTCCATGAATGCCCTGTATATATAAATCATAAATTTATCTGTTTTAAATGTCATTTTTATTAAAAACAATATTTTCCTAATTGAGATTTCTACAAATTTATTCCAATATTCTTGAATTAATATATTTTAAAACTAGATCATTCATGAAAAAGAACAAATTGACCTAGCGGTGAATGGCCTTGAAAAATTTCAGGAATGAATGCCTTGGGTCTGACAGATCCATGTGAATAACCTTCTGCGCATTTTTCCACAATGTTTTTTAGGTTACCAAAACATATCAATTATACTTACAGAATATGTTTTAATACATGTAAAATCTTTTTTTTCAATAATCTCAACTTTTTTCTAAGATATATACGAGGGTTGTCCCAGAAGTACCTGACCTGACATAAATGGTGGTACTTGTTTGAAAAAAAAACGACTGTGTTTGAAAGTATCAAGCTTATAAAGGTTAAGTTTGAAGTTTGAAGACATTACGTTGTATAGTATTTTTTTGGCAGCCATAAATAATGAACAATCTCAGTGAATTTGTAAACATGGAAAAAATTTGTCATCGTTATGTGATACAATACTTTCATTTGAAAGGTTTCAGTCCAACCAATATTAAAGCTGAGCTTTATTCTACTCTGGGGGAGTCTGCTCCCTTGTTTACAACAATAAAATATTGGGTGGCAGAGTTTAAACGAGGCTGTATGAGTTGCCAAGACGAACATCGTAGTGGTTGACCAAGTGAGGTGACCATGCCAGAAATGGTGGAAAAAATCCACAAAATGGTATTGGATAACAGTCGACTCAAAGTGCTAGAGCTAGCAGACATGGTAGACATTTCAAAAAGTGCTGTACATCGCAATTTAACTGAAAATTTGGACACAAGAAAGCTGTGCACAAGATGGGTGCCACGTTTGCTCACAATGGGACAAAAACAGCATCGTGAGGATGTTTCAATCGAGTCTTTGGCAATGTTTCGCAGCAACAAAGCCGAGTTTTTGCGTCGATTCATAACCATGGATGAAACATGGGTCCATCACTTCACATCTGAGACGAAAAAACAGTCAAAACAATGGACTGAAAGGGGAGAATCAGCTCCAAAGAAGGCAAAAAAAGTTCCATCTGCTGGCAAGGTCATGGCGTCAGTTTTTTGGGATGCGCCCAGGAAAAACAATCAACGGCAAGTATTATGCGAACTTATTGATGCGCTTGAGTGATGAAATCAAGAAAAACGGCCACATTTGGCGAAAAAGAAAGTGTTGTTTCATCAAGACAATGCACCAGTTCACACATCCGTAATTGCGATGGCCAAAATCAATGAGTTAAGGTTCAATTTGCTTCCTCACGCACCCTATTTGCCAGATTTAGCACCCTCAGATTATTTTCTCTTTCCAAACTTAAAAAAATGGCTTGGTGATAAAAGATTTGCCAACAATGAAGAGGTGGAGTCTGCGGTTGATGGCTATTTTGAGAAGCTCGACAGTTCTCACTATAAACAGGGGATCGAAGCTATTGTACATTGCTGGAAAAAGTGTATCGAGCTAAAAGGAGACTATGTTGAAAAATAAAGATATGTTTTACCAAATTTTTTGTGTCTTCTTTGTTAGGTCGGGTACTTCTGGGACTACCCTCGTAAAAAATTTCCCTGCAAAAAAAACATACAGAAATCATACAGAAATGAAAAGCATGTATGATAATGATATAATTGTTCACTAGACACTTAGCATTAAAACCTATAAATTATGTAAAAAAACACTGAAATAAAAAAGATACACATGTATACAAAGCTCAAAATAAAACTTGCATGAATGAATGTGTGAGATGTGAACCACCCCTGTGATTAATTAACAATTTAATTAAAAAGTTCAATTTTAGACAAAAATATTCAGTGATTTTGATGGGAAAATTATATTTTCTAAAACGAAGGAAACTGGGAAAAGTCATTTCCTTCAACGGAAGATCGACTTCCTTTTGTTTTCCCTTATCTCTTAAAAATCTTAGTCACCCTGGGAATTGTCAACCCCTCGATAAATCCCCCTTTTCCTCTGTTCATGTGGAAAAATACGAAATGCTGATTGGAGAAAATTCATGAGAAAGAGAAAGAATTTTGCATTTTTCGGGGAGTACGCCAAAAGATCCAGAAGAGGACAGATGTATTCCATATCATCTCCTGAAAGCCAACGCCCAAAGTTGAATCCAGAAGTTTCTACAAAAATGAGTTATAAGTCGGTAAACTAGAGAAGAAATTATTTAAATATGTGCCATTAATGAACTAAAAAGAAAGAACCGTCGTTTACATTTAAAAGACAGAAGAAGCTAAGATAATTTAGAGGTAGTATGAATTTGATAGAAATTGTGAGATCTCTCTCTCGAAATCGCTTTATTCAAATATTCAATTTTGTGTAATTTCGTTTAATTTTGTTTCATTAACTATTTGTTTTTAATTGTTAAAAGAAATGTCTCTCAAGTTTCTGAATCAAAACGGAAAGTTCATCTCCATACCATATCCATACGCGTGTTAATCCGCGTAGTATAAAAGTGATTAACTGGTGTCATTATCATGACATTGGATAGCGACTTCATCGTCTATATCCTATTTAACATTAACAGCTCTCCTAGAAAAAGTTAGTGAGCCAATCTAAAGATTGCGTGTCAGTAAGCAATATAGGTAACACACCTATACCCTTGATCCTCACAAATGGCATGGGTCTATCAGACCCAAATTATCTGCTAGCCACGGCAGAATAAAATTACTCAATTTGAATTTTACATAAATTTGTAGTACCACTCTGAATAGGAAGGTATGTGTAATATGAATTGCCTACCTATATACAAACATAATGAATATACGAGGTCTGTTCAAAAAGTATCGGACCTTTGGTCGGCAAAAATACATTTATTGATTTTGAGGTACCAAACCCTAATCCCCTTCAAAGTAGTCTCCTTGATAGTGTATACACTTCTCCCAGCGTTCCTGCCATTGCTGGAAACACTGTTGGAACGCATCTTTTGGAATGGCCATCAGCCGGTCCGTCGCATTCCGCACGATGTCTTCTCTCGACTAAAATCGGGTTCCTTTTAGCGGCATTTTCAGCTTGGGAAATAGCTAAAAGTCACACAGAGCCATGTGGGGTGAGTACGAGAGTACGGAGCGTGACGAACCACAGGAGTGTTGTGTTTGGCGACGAAAGCCTGAATCAGATGCGCAGAATGGGCGGATGCGTTATCACAATGGAGCTGCCAAGTTTTGATCGACCACAGATCCGGTCATTTGCATCGCACAGCATCGAAAAGACGACAAAGGACCTCCTGGTAGTACTCCTTTGCGATGGTTTGGCCTCGTGGTGCGTACTCACGATACACCACCCCACAAGAGTCGAAAAAACTGTCAACATGACCTTGATATTGCTGCGGGCCTGCCGTGCTTTTTTTGGCCTCGAGGACCGTCCCCAAAAGCCTGCTGAATCTTGCGAATGGTTTACGCTCAGGTATCGCCAAGGTTTTTGGCAAAATTTGATGTAATATCGCTCCTCACGTTGTTCAGTCATTTTCCAACTTAGTGGAATCCGACGAGAGCTCGCTACATGTCCTCACTCAAAGGGCGACTGCCAACGACTGACGCTTCCTGCAGGTGAGAAAAAATTCAGGGCTGTGCATGACTGTCCCCTCCACAACTCCACCGAAAGAGGCCTCCCGCGCATCATTGGTTTACGCGGAAAAAATAAAAGTCCGATACTTTTTGAACAGACCTTGTATACTGCAAAAGTCGCATGGGTTTGAGAGACTCAGGCCATTCATTGCAGGGTTAAATTAATAACGATTACAGATCATTCTTCATAAAGAAAAAACTAAAAAGCAAAGAAAAAGAAAAGTTTAGTTATAAAAATGAACACCATCCTTTAAAATTATGAATTATTTATAACACAAAAATGTAATAAAAACATTATAAATATAAAATTTAACAAAGTATAAATATTTCAAATATTAAAAAAAATTTACTTTAAAAAATATTTCCTGTTATATGATTTTCTTAATGTAAATACAGTATCTTTTCCATATAATGCTTAATTTCTTACCGTTAAAAAATTTTGCAGAAGAACTTTGGCTCTATCAAGATATTGTTGTTCCTGAGATTTGAAATGTGGCTTATTATTTGGCAATTCTATTTTCTTCAGAGAAGGAACAATCTATTAAAATAGATAATAATTACTATTTTCTAACTTGAACCATTTGACAATTATATGTACTGTACATCAAATTTTATTAAGTATTATAATCACATATAGAGCAAACATAAAATAGTAATATATGACAATACCCAATAAAAATCTTAATAGTATCTTGTGACTAAATGACTTGTACAGTTATACATTTTTAATTAATTGGTCTGAAATCAAAAATTGGACAGATGTCAAGTAGTGTAATTAACAACACATCTGTACAGTAAGGAGGAGTTGGAATTTGAGTCCTGCTCCAAACCAATCTTTTCTTTCTTATTTTAAATTAATTTATTTCTTCCTAATTATTAAGTTGAATACAAAATGGGATCTTAGTCAAATTAAATAATATTGTGAGCCCGACAATTTAAGGAACTGAATTTTTAGAAATTTGTAATTGTTAAAACATTTTTTCAGAAGTTAAAGTAAGCATCTGTCATTAGAAAAAAACTCATTGCATAGCATCGGATTGGATGTCACCTCTCATGTCAACAATCAAGTGGGAAAGTTAACACATTATTGTGAAATGAAGGCAGTCCATTACGAACGACTCTTTGAAAAATACAAGTCATCGTAAACAACGGATGATCACATGACCCATTTCCCACAATAATGATATAAAAGCTGGAGTCACCAGAAACTCAGAGCGATTGACACAGGAAATTATTCTTGAGCTAGTGTCCATTTTTGTCTCCTGTCTCCCGATCCTGTCCGAGAAGACAACAGAGGAAGACACTTACGATTTCCACATCTTCCATATAAGAACAATTGTCACATGTGGCTCCCTATTAAGATTGAGAGGTATTTTTGGACTAGAAATCTGGGAACTCTCTCTCTGTGATAAGGAAATTAGGCATGCAACATAGAAGTTAGAGTAGTTACCAGTCTTTTTGTAAATAATTTGCATTTTAACCGCATTTAACCTTATTTAATCTGTATTATCTGCATGTATGCTTAGCCTTAGATATTCAATAAATGCTTTGTTTATTTGTTAACCTTTCAACAGTGGACTAGTCAGGTATGGTTCTATCCCAAAGTAGTGGAGAATAAATGTGGGAAATTTTTAAAGTATTTTTCTGCGCATTTTTTCTCATCGCTGTCTCGGAAAAAGATTTTGTAAATAGTTATGTCTAGTAAAGTAAAGTCTTTTTTTATTGTTACATAATTCATTTTTTAGGTGATTTTTTTTTGTGGTAGTTTTTGGCTAGTTTTTGGCAATACCCCCAAAATAATTTAATGAATATATCCATCTTTCACCACTGCCACACGATCACCCTGGACAGATATATCTGTCCTTCACTGCTGAGTGCTTAAAACCTGTCAAACTGTCTATTATTCCAAATCTGGACACTTGTCAATTTATCCGTGCAACCTCCCCACTTGATTATTTGCCCTCCTAAAGCCATCCAGTGACAAAGTAAGCAAGTTTTACCAACTCGACGATTAGAGGGCTCTGTACCCTTGCCCGTATTCTCACAATATCTTTATAATTAATTAGTCATATCATAGTCCAATTAAAAACTGGCATTATAATTTTTATTAATAAATATATTATAGTGTCAATTATAGTATAAAACAATTGATTTTATTATTAAAGAAAATAGAATACTTACTAAATGCATTTTAACATTTCATTAAATCAAAATATTATATTTTAAATTAATAAAGAATATCAAACTGTTGGAATTATTTAAAATTCCTTTCGATGCTTCTAAATTAAAAAATCCATTCTAATAATTAAATTATTTAAAAATGATGACATCATCTACCTTTAATGCAAATTTATATTGTAATTCAAAAATTATAACTTAAAAAAGCCCATAAATAATCTAGTAGTTGCTTTGGATTATTCATACATAATTCAGGACACTGTTTATATTTGTTATTTATGAAATCATAAACAACAAATTAAACATTTAAATTAAATCAAAATAAAAAAAAAATAAAATAAATTTTTTTTTTTTTATATTCGAATGTTCTTAGCCTGACGATGGCCAACTGATTTGGCTGAAAACGTTTGCGTTAGATTAAATTTTTTCTCAGCAAATTAAGGTGTTGTGTTTTTTATTTAACAAATTAAACTCCAAAAATATGATTAAGATAAAGTTATTTTCAGATATCCCATATACAGTATATAATAAATAGTGTGTAAAATCTTTTTAAAACATATATATATTTGCGTCTATATATTTTTTGACTCCCTGTTCTTTATATATAATCTGCTAATATGAACAATCTCCATACAATAATTAGTTTAGATTAGTAACAGTGCAGTGTATAAAATCTAATAAAACCACTCAGAAAATAAAAAATAAGTTTTAAATCTTCACCTTTATTGTAGCATATTTATTTGTTATATTAGTTATTGTATTTAGTATATTTATTTTAGTAAATGTGGGAGTCCAAAATATTTTGTCTGTTATATAATTTATTTTTGACTTTAATTCTATTACTCAAACCAAAATCTCCTTCAATTTAAATGTTACAGGATATGAATAACAAAAAAGGATCCTCAATAAAAACAGAGAAAAAGGAAGGGTGCAAATGGACCTGAGCAATGTGATAGAATCAAACTGTGTAGAACTTTAAGCCATGACTATCCATCACAACAAGCCATCAACTCTGCAATCAACATCCATATCATCATCATCATCATCATCAGTCAATTACCGTACAGACAACCTACCTCTAGGCCTTCACCCTTTATCTTATATTTGATGTTAACTGGTAACTCAAATTATGTAAACTAACTCTCTTTCTCTCATGATTGAGATCTCATATTCACCATTTCATCATATAAATAAATCTGGAGATTAAGTGTGTGCTATTTCTTTTAGAACCTATATAACATTAACCTTTAATCAAGACAAGTCATTGTGTGTTGAGGTTTTCATAGGACAACTACTTGGGTCTGACCACATTCAACATATCAAAGTGCATATATATTATATGAGAGATTTTGCATATGTTTGTATTTAGTGTAAAAATGAAAGATGACAACTTTACAAGATCACCATCAAATTTTCAGTTTAAATATACAATCTACCTACATAAAATTCATATTGCAAGTGCAGTATTTGATATTTTGTTTGATAATTTAATGTGTGCCCTGCCAATTTGTCTGAACACATACAAAAGAAAAAAATTAATTAAAATTATATCATTTGTTCTCTATTAAATTTATACAGTGTAGAGTGTCAATTATCTGAATCAATTGAGAACTGGGGTTGTTTGGAAAATCGATTTTTCAGATAACTGATTATGTACAAAAAAAATACATTATTAATATAGTATATTAGTATATCCCAATAATAGTATATTAATATATCCCCTGTTTAGATTTTTCTCTGTTGTGTGTCATTTTGCGTTGAATTTTCGTCGATGTTAAGCCTAATGAAAATTTTTATAATAATTGTGGCTATTGTATCATTAAAAATTATTTTTTTATTTTGAACAAGCAAAATAAATATATTGAAAAAAATAAAAACAAAAATTATACTTTAGAAGTTAATCTAGTATCAAAAACGTTCAATTCAACAGGACACAGTCCAAGTGGAATGCTTTCGGTTAACTGATGTTTTGGTTGATTGGCATTTGGATAATCGACACTCTACTGTAATTTGTAGTATAGTTTTATAACAATTTATTTTATTATTGATGAAAAATTAGAATACTTACTAAACTCAACTTTTGTCTTAGTGCACGAAAATCATTTATGGATTTGACTACTCTCCAACCTTCAGAGATATCATTATTAATAATTACAGGATCACTTCCCAAATGAACAACAACTGTGCATTGAGTAATTGCTTTTTCAGTTTCTTTTTTTATCTAAAAATTTTTTTAAACCATCAATTTTTATATACAAAAGTAAAATGAAATATTATATTAAAATCTGATTAATATATACAAAAAAATACAAAAAAAAATCCGATTTACTTCAACTTTTTCAACACTGGCTTTCCAATATCCTAAATGTTCCATCCAAGTTGTTGTCATTATAATATGAGATTCCAAATGATATCTTTCTATCTTCATATCCTCTATCTCTTTTTCTAATACAGAAATCATCTAAAAGCAAATTAGAATAGCTTTTTTTAATTATTTTATTTTACTAAAATAAAAAAATTAACTAAACATGGATACATTTGTATAATATGATAATTTAAATATTTAATGCATTTTACATACCTTTATATCAGATTTTTGTGTGTTGTGAATAGCTTGTAAGGCTTGTCTTTTAATTGATAATTTTTCATCTAATTGTCCTAATTGTAGTTTTAAAAAATGGGAATGTTCACTAAGTGACATTGGAGAAGTTTCTTCTAATAAGTCATCATGGTGAGAACTATTTGGCAGTTCTGATTCATAAACTTCTGATTCATTGCTTGCTATAAAAAGTTTTATTTGTAAATTAAATTATAGTTTAGTATACAAATTAAACTTAATGATAAAAATTTTATAATAAATCTCACATTCAGCCATATGTGCAAAATCAATACCAGCCTTTTCAGCATTAGAAATCATTAAATCATAAATTTCACTAACAATGAAAGACGGATAGAAACGCTCTTCTAATAACTTATAAACATCATCTTGAGCTTGAAAAAATGCTTCTGGTCCCTAAATATATAAATTACATATACACATAAAATACATATTTAATTAATAAAAATATGTAAAATAATTTATATATTACATATGTCTATAAAAATTTTTTAACAACTACATAATAAATATTAATTAATATTTAATTAATAAATTATAAGTAATGATGTGGGCTCCAAATGGACCCGAGGTATTCATCATAGGATCAAATAAAGTCTTCCTATCAAAGAATAATGTTTTTATTTTAATTTTTTTTTATATTTTATTAAAAACAAAAACATGAAAGAAACAGGACTATCCACTGCTTTTAGGTTTCTTTTCTATCTGATTTAAGCAGTTAGATATAACAAAAACACTAAAAAGGAAACATTATACATTAAAAATAAATTTACAATTAATAAGAAATTCAGATCTTACTCTATATTTTTAAAATTATGTAAAATTTTCCATCGCTTTATCTTATGTATAAAATATGTAAATAGAATAACATTAAATAAATACTAAATACTTACCTTATTAGCCATCATAAATGACTCTATTCCCTTTAAAATATTTTTTGACAACTTTACACTGCTATTTGGATTATTGATATATAACTGAACTATTTCATTTCCAAGCTGATGCCATTTATTCTATAAAATAAATCATGTTATTTAATTTTTAAAGTCCAGAATCAAATGATTTATTCNATAGTTTGTCAAATTTTTATTCATAAAAATGCAGTTTCAACTGGATTTTATAAAATAAAAAGCAGTTGAAACTGCTTTTTATTTTATAAAATCCGTCTTCTTGCGCCATCAGAGAGCCTTTTAAACAATAGATAGTCTATTAGCGTTGGTCAGTAGTAGTCCAAATTTAATACAAACATTTGTTTTTTGAAAATTTGATCACGATTTAAATACAGTATTTACTTTTAATATTACCGATATTTCATCGAAAAGAAAACGTGTTGTATTATCATTAAAAGACAAATTAAAGTATTTGTTTCCATTATCCGGATTTTTCCTTATCCGGACTACCTTTATCCCCAATTAGTCCGGATAATCGAGGTTCTACTGTATGTAAATAGAATAACATTAAATAAATACTAAATACTTACCTTATTAGCCATCATAAATGACTCTATTCCCTTTAAAATATTTTTTGACAACTTTACACTGCTATTTGGATTATTGATATATAACTGAACTATTTCATTTCCAAGCTGATGCCATTTATTCTATAAAATAAATCATGTTATTTAATTTTTAAAGTCCAGAATCAAATGATTTATTCTAATTTTAATGAAAAGAAACGTATACATCATTAAAAATAGAAATTCACACTGCTTTTTCAGTTAGACAAATATTTTATTATACGTAAAAACATTTTCATCTTATTAGATCAGCTTCAGTTACAGAATTCTTATAATGGAACAGCAAGTAGCAGTTTAAATCAAAACTGTTATTTGATTCTGTAGATAATACTTCTAATTAATTCAACTACAATATTAGTTGAATTAATTAGAAGTATAGTCTACAGAATCAAATAACAGTTTTGATTTAAACTGCTACTTGCTGTTCCATTATAAGAATTCTGTAACTGAAGCTGATCTAATAAGATGAAAATGTTTTTACGTATAATAAAATATTTGTCTAACTGAAAAAGCAGTGTGAATTTCTATTTTTAATGATGTATACGTTTCTTTTCATTAAAATTAGAATAAATCATTTGATTCTGGACTTTAAAAATTAAATAACATGATTTATTTTATAGAATAAATGGCATCAGCTTGGAAATGAAATAGTTCAGTTATATATCAATAATCCAAATAGCAGTGTAAAGTTGTCAAAAAATATTTTAAAGGGAATAGAGTCATTTATGATGGCTAATAAGGTAAGTATTTAGTATTTATTTAATGTTATTCTATTTACATATAGTAGAACCTCGATNTAATCAAAAATACTTTAATTTACCTTATCAGAATGTTTCATCTCTTCTACAGCTTCCCAGAACCTAAGTATTAAAACAAATTTTTAAAATAAACTTGGAGAAATTAATGAATTTGTAAAACTCTTAAGTACTTCCAAATAATAAATGTAACTAATTATTATAATTATTTAATTATATTCATTACAAATAAAATAATAACCAATGATAATCTAATATTAAAACTCATCATTACCATGTTTTAATTATCATCATCAAAGCAGAAAAAGTATTCAATGTAAATTCATTTTAACAATTATTTTGTTTAATCTTTAATATGTATAAATTGTTATTACTATTTTTTAAATCTAAATGTGATATAAAAATCAATCGGTACATCATGATTTTCAAGGTTACGATTATACTTAAGCTTTCCAAAATATACAAAATAAATTTGTTTATGGTCAATTTGGACTAAATCATCTTCAAATCAATTGGTTACTATACACCAAAAGTCAGAGTTACTAAATTATATTAGGTTTCTGTTTCATAATTAAAAAAATTATTCATAATTAGAATAATTTGGTATTATAATTTAATACCATTTAGCAAAAATATAGTTTAAAGCATGATTTAAATGTGAAAATTGTGAATATTGAGAACTGCAGTTACTAGAATAAAGCTCAATAATTGAAAGATGTATAACAAAGTTAAAAAAGAACAATTTGCTTAATAATAATAAAAAAAAGTGTGGGACATAGAATTTTTAATTATTAAGAAAAGTTAGTATGTGCCATTATAGATGTACAACAACAGAAAAACTAAGAACACAAAGTTATCTAGTAAAAATGTTAATTATATACAGGATTTTTCATTAAGAGTGATAGAACTTTTAAATTGTCATGGGTGCCTTAGTTTTTATTTGATTGTAAGGGTAATTTACATATCTGTTCTGTAATGTTTGGCAAATCATTGTAATATTTACAGTTCCCCAATGTGTTGAAATCATTAATAGTTATTATCAGAAGTCTTGTTCAATTCAGTCAATGTTTCATGCATTTTATTTGATTTATGATCAACATAACTCTCAATACATCATTTAGTAAAAAAATTCAAAGAAACTGGATCAGTTATTGATGCATGTACTCCAACACAAAGTTCAGTGGCAGAATTATTTTGAAAAATTCAGCTGTTAACTGATTTTTGTAACAGGATCATAAAAAATTGGGGTTAATCGTATTCACTCTGTCAAACACAATCATAGGGCCATTTAAATATTATTTTCATATGTAATGCCACTAAATATACTATAAAATAAAACAATTACACCATATTATCTTTTGTAGTTTTCATTTTATTTCAATTTATAGTTCTATATCACCCTTATTAGAAAAGCCTGTATATATATATATTAATTTAGCAATCATTGTCACTGTAAGCAATCTGTAATCAATTAACAATTGAACTATTATCATCTATGGGTGCATTTACTTTTTGCTAGCTTCCAAGCTTGCAGAGCTGACACCTAGTGCAGCCTGACATCATACTAGCACCCTCATAAAAGTATACACAGTAATGGATGCTGCCATCTTTGAACAAACTCCAAGCTTGTTGTAAATTCTCCGAGCACACTGAGTGTGCTAGAAATGCTAGTAATGACATCATGGGTGTGAAAAGTAAACACCGTGCTCATTGGTAGCTAACAAAGGGTATACAGGCTGAATGCACTAGGGACGAGATGGAGCTGAAAGTAAATGCACCCTATAGTAATTCCAGAATATGGAATTGACCATATGACAAATAACTAAACTTAGATTATTGTAGAACAGTTTCAATAATAATAATAAATAAATTGCTAAAGTTTTTTTTTTGATAAAAAAAAAATTATTGAAAAGTGCTCATTTATTCTCATGAAAAGATACCATTATGATCTGGGTTATTTTTTTAAATGCTGATATTATATTCAGTCAGCGAGGATGAGCTAAGTCAAGGTCAAAAATGTTTCTGATTAAGTATCTTTTTGGTAACCAAAACTTTAGTAGTTTATTTTATTATTATTATAATGGTGCAAAGTTTTGTTGACTTTCATGACAGTTTCAATTTTATACATTTACATAAAATCAGAAAATACATAGTATAATTTCATCCTATCAAAAAAGGCCATTGATGTCCATTCCTGTGGTTGATGAATATATAATCTATCAGAAATATATAGTATACTTTTAGATAGGTCGTCAAATTATAATAAGCTTTATACTTCTTAATAGTGATTATTTCAAATTACATATTATAATTGATAATAAAATGAAGATCAAAAATGTAAATGATCAGTAAGATCTTAAAATACTTTTCAATATTCTTAAAACTAAAATAATGGACAGAAAAAACTTGCACTTTATTCAAATAAAGCATAAAACAATAGTATTGTAGTTTCCAAACACTTTTGGACTTTAATTCATCATCAAAAGATATGCCCATAACAAAAAAAATGATGATGAACTGAATAAGTCCAAAAACACTTGGAAATAAATATTTGTTTTATGTTTCACTTCAATAAAGCTGTTCTTCAGTTCTTGCATGTTATTTGAAGTTTCAAATGTTACCACATTTGAAACTTCTGATACAATAATGAATCAATCTTACCCTATTAAAGAATAACTTTCTTCTTTTTCAAGATACTTGGTAAAATATTCTCTGCAATATGGTGTTTCCATAATAACTGAATGAGATAACACTTTTCCAGTGATAGGAGATACATCTGTTGGCAATAGGCTCTCTTTAAAAGAAGTATAATTGGTCCCACCGAGTGCTTTAATATTTTTTTCGCAAAGTGACTTGGCATATTGAAGCTAATAAAAATTTTAAAAATTCTTTTATATTTTTAATTTTATTAAAAATTAAATTAAATGTTAATTTAAATAGTCAAAAGAATACTAGTTTATTTCAAAATCAAGGATGAATACTAATACTGATCTAATATGGATACATCAGCATATTGCAATGTTTCCTGTATCAGAATTAATAAGCTCCAAATACTTTTAAAATGCAGTCTATTTTAAATAAACTTAGATAAGTTTATTTAAAATAGACTGCATTTTAAAGGTATTTGGAGCTTATTAATTGGTTATAGTAATGCAGGTAGAGATTTAGTTCCTGTATCAGAATTGATTGGTTTTACAAACTGATGCTATGATCTCTTTTTCTTTATTTTTTCAAAATTTACTATGGAAAGAAAAAAAAGAATAGAGTATAAATTTGTAAAACAAATCAACACTGATATATTGGGAACATTTCAAAAAGCCAATATATCAGTTTCAGCTATATCTCTAATCAAAATTATGATAATATTTTAAAGTTAGTATTGATTTATGAAATTTGGATAAGCCAGTACTTGTAAAAGAATGTATAGTATCTATGTTAAGGTTATTAGAACAAATTTATATATCTGGGTAGCTAAATATATAAAAATAATAAATTAAAATGATGCAAAGCTAAATGCACAAGCGTTTGAAACACATTATAAGTACAATTGTTTTTGCTAAAATTGCTTACAGGCTTTAGATGATAATAAATAACCTAATTGTCTGCAAATAAATTTTTGGTATTTTGCAAATGCGTAGTCATCAGCAGAATAATTTTACAGTTTATTTTTTAAACTAGCAAATTAAAAACTATACTTTATTTTTTATATTTTAAGAATCCAGTTAAAAATTCACACATTTGCTTAATATTTACTTTCAATTTTAAATTATCATATTTTAAAATCTGTACTGTAAGGTGTTCCAAAACAGAATAGTTAAATTTGTAAGCAAATTTGTAAGTTTAAATTAATGATGGCTCAAGTAGAGCCAAAAGTATTTTTAAAAAATAATATTTGGTAGACAAAAGAAGAAATTATAGTTTTAATAAAAATTATTGCCAGGATAATAAGTATGAACTTAGACATTTATAAAAAGTTCTCAATGGATAAACTTTAAAAGTGTCTATAAATATAATAAACATCTCAAAGCCCTATGCATTGATACTAAACCAAACGATCACTGTAATCAATTGGGCAATTATTCTGCTATTATTATTAATTAGATACAGTGAAACCTCGGTTAACGAACGCCATAGTTAATGACCAAATTGGTTAACAAACCTTTATTTTGCAAAAATTTTGTCTTGGATAAGAGATGAAATTCAGATAATGAACATAATGGTTTTTTGTGTCAAAATCAGAGGTAGATGATGCAGATGTGGAGGAATAGATAAATGAACATCAAAATGAACTAACCACAAAAGAGCTGGTTGCCTTGCAGGAAGAACAGGTGAAAGTCTTACAAGAACAGCATTCGTCAGATGAAGAGAAGGTTAGGAAGAAATCACCAGTGCTGAGATCAAGGAAATTTGCAGAAAATGGAATGATATGCAGGAATTTATTGAGAAATTCCATTTTAGAAAAATTTTGATTAAAAGAGTAAGACAATCAACTTTAGATCACTTTCTTGTTTCTCATCAAAAGAAACCTCAACTCAAAGAATCTCCCAATGAAGTGCTACCCGATATTTTTATGGAAGGGAATTCCCCTTCTAAGCATTAAGCTCTGTTCATCTCCACTTTGCCATCAACTACAACAAATGATGGCATATACTTTATTAAATATTTTATTAATTTTATTATTTTATTTTATTTTATTAAATAACATTTACATATTTGTTGCTGTAATGATAGATAATATGTTTTCCTATATTTCCATCAAAGAAAACTCATTTTATAAATAAAATTACAAAAATTCTGGAGGCTAGAATGGATAAATTGTATTTGCATTAATTTCTATGGGAAAAATTGCTTTGGTTAATGAACAGAGTCACGGAACTGATTAAGTTCATTAACCAAGGTTCCACTGTATTAAGTAATTTGGTATTAGAGATAGACATTACATAGTCCTGTGCTGGTGCTGTAAGTGTTAATGGTTATATCTAGGTATAAATATGTCTTGAAATGAACAGAAGTATGGATAGCATAACTACCAGTGCACCACAGTGTAAGCAGAAGTTCTAAGTTCAAATCCTGCTCTGGGCTAGTTCTTTCCTTCCAGAGTGTTTCAAATTATTTAATAAATTATTAATTATAATTATTAATTTAGATAAGAGATGGTACCTAATGTCTACCTCTAATACCAAATTACTTAACATCTAATTACTAATAATAGTAAAATACTAGCCTGATTAATTATGTTGGGGTCCCTTATTCTTATTTCCTGATGGTGTATGAAAAGGGACTATCAGTTTCATGCAAAGTCAATCTTTATTTGGAGTCTTCTTGTTACAATCTTTTCTCTAAATTCATACTTATATCTCAGCTATAATTTTTATTAAATGTATAATTTTTTATAATTGATTGTGCTGCCAGAGGAAAAATTGTAACATTTTTTCATGTTAAGGCAGATGGTAAGCCTCCAAATAAAGATAAACTCCACCATTAAACTGTGATAATTCTAGGGGTTTTCTGATTCAAACCCCACTTCCGCTGCACCAATTTGTGAGCCACCGGAAGGGAAGAGAAGTCCTCTCCTTCCGGTCACTGGTCGGTGACCGACTTTCTTGTCAGGGATGGTAGTAACGTTCGGTTACGCGTTACGCGAGTGGAGGAGAGTTACGGGGCTGACGATAAGGCGTTGGCATAGTCGAATAAAGACACCATTTTTCTAAACTAACAATTTATTACAGACAAATAATAAAACAAACGTTCTAACACAAGAAGTCTCATTCGCGTACGAGAGAGAGAGCTTACAATAAAGCGTTCATACCTCTTGCGATGATATCGAAGGTCTTTAATTTCTGAAAAGCGGGATCCAAGTTGAAGGTTGGAATCGAAGGTCTTCTAATATGTGGTGCGGCCAGTTAGAGGGAAGCGAAATTCTATCTTGATGGTGCGATGGCGACTTCTTGATTAGCGACTCCCCGGAGAGGGGGAAGGAGGATGGCTTTTATACCTTTTTGGTGGGAAAATTCGTCAGGTGATCAATTGTTTTAGCAGGTGTGGGGTTAAAGGTGGTGTTAGAATGACAACAATATGACGAATTTCGCCGATAACTGTAAACTATATACGGTTTGATCGTGAGAATGTTTATAGTTAAACAAAAAGAGTTATAATTCTCTCATGTACTTTATATTTCGTTTTTGTAGGGTCAAATTCCTTTGGTTGAGGGCATTTTTATTTTAAACTTATTAAACTTTTAAAGTACTAAATGCTTTTATTAACTTCGAATTTTCACAAAACTATTATTTCCTGATGTATGAAAATGGACTAACAAGGGAACTGTCGGAGTGTCTTCTAATAAATTTTAATAAAATTTAGTTAATAACTACGTTAAAAGTATACAAACTCTATTTTAAATTTGTAGCATTCACTAAAAGTGTTGATCAGAGTTATTAGCAATCAAATGTTGCACTACTTTATAGTAGTTTAACACAGTTATGCAAATTTTTAGAAGTGAAAGGGTTGCGGAGGAAGACGGCGATATTACATTTAGAATAAATTCTGGAATTTTCAAAAATGGTTGAAGAATTAATAAAATTTTGTATACTTTTAACATGATTATTAACTAAATTTTATTAATTCTTCTCCCATTTTTGAAAATTCCAGAATTTATTCTAAATGTAATATCGCCGTCTTCCTCCGCAACCCTTTCACTTCTAAAAATTTGCGTAATTGTGTTAAACTACTATAAAGTAGTGCAACATTTGATTGCTAATAACTCTGATCAACACTTTTAGTGAATGCTACAAATTTAAAATAGAGTTTGTATACTTTTAACGTAGTTATTAAGTAAATTTTATTAAAATTTACTAGAAGACTCTCCGACAGTTCCCTTGTAAGAGTAAAGGACACTTTTAAAGTTTGTCAATGAGAATTTTTGTAAATTTTCTAAGTTCACAATTGTACTCTATTTAATTGTATATTTTAAATTTGTAAACAATTACAAACATAATTAAACATAAAATTTAATCCTTTGGAATATAATTTTAATAAAATATTAAAATTTTTTATAAATAAAACATTAAATTTCTAAAAATAATTTACAAATTACAAAAATACTTAAAATAAATAAGACTTGCTTCACATAATCATATAAATATATCACTTATTGGATCCATATTCTTTAGACTTCTTGCCTTCTAGAAAACAAGTTAAAACTACAATATTGGAAAAAAGTCTAACTCATATCAGCTTTCTAGAGCATTTTTAGTTGAATTGAATATACACTAAATAATCATAACTTAAATAGTGAATAAGCATAATTAAATGCTGTTGAATTAATAAATATTATCTAGATTCCCTAGATTCTTTTGCATTGTAGGTCAAATATACTTTATAATTATTACTTTTGTTTTAGTTATTGAGACAGAAAAGGATTGACAAATAGATTTACTGAATGAAAATTCTATCAATGTAGTAAATGATACACTATAATCAATAATTTCTGTTATATAATAGCCTATTACATAAGTTTTAAGTACCAAGTACTTTGTATCTTGCTTAATCATTTTTTTTAATCACTAAATATCAGAATTAGCAATAGTTTAGAAAATTATCAACATTATCATAAGTCATAGTTAAATAGACCAGATCAACATAACACTGAGCCAGTTATGATTATTGCACCATTGGCTCATGGCATTGCCAAGTTTGACTCATATATCATCAAATTCCTCATACTAATATATTAAAGCTTCTTGTCTCAATTAATATTAATAAAGTTATCAACACAATAATATCCTTAATGATTGAATTAAATGTGACTCTAATCATTGGTTAGAGATATAGCATGATAACTCACTGAGTAATGCCAGCAGAGGATGTCAAAGTGCATCCATCCCCCTTGGCCTATAAAAAAAAACGCTGTCTGTAGTTGACACGTCGAAGAGAGACATTGTATCACTAGAGATGCCTTTACGTCATAATATTTACTCAAATGAAAGTAGAATTCTTCTTTGATTTGATCATCCAATATAATCATAAGAAGAAATAATAAATATATAATTAAAAATATTATCTTACTTGATTAATATATCGCTTTAGGTTTCTTGCTTGTAGTAAATCCCCTTTTGCTTTTGTTTGTGGGCTGAACTCTTTATCTATAAAGATTAAAATTATTCAAGTAAAATTACTTTCACACGTGATTACTATGATTGACATAAGTAAATGCAAAATATTTTACTATTTTGCATTTACTTATTTTTTCTGTGTAAAATCCATATCAGAATAATTGTCTATTTCATTTACATAAATTTCACTGAAAATTATTACAACAAATATACTGTACTATTTTTATGATGTATTGTTTCATTTTAATCATTTTAATGATGCAGCATCTATTTTTCTCATTCTGCAACAAGAATGAGAAAAATAATTACATAAAGTTCACTATAAACATTAATTTAATATTGTGATTCCACCCTTAAAATATTGTTCACTTACATATGTAAAACTTTTTTTGATATTTTTAAAATATTTTATGTTCTTTTCAATCTAAACCAAGTACACTCATTGCCATAAAAATTAACACACCAAGGAGTTGTAATGTCACTGCAAAACTTGGCATGAAGATAAATCTCAAACAGATAAGAAAGTAATTATAGATATAGCATGATGGCTCATTGCATAATGTCAGCAGAAGATGTCAAAGTGCATCTCTCTTGGCCTATAAAAAAGAACACAAATGCATCCTGTCTGTAGTTTACCTATTGTAAAGACACTGTATCACTGAGATGCCTTTACATCATAATTGAAGATCATATGAACAACTAACTGAGTTTGAGAGGAGATGGATCATTGGGTTGAGAGGAGATGGATGGTCATCTTGCTGAATAGCCTGCCACTAAACTGTTCTGACAACACTGTGAGCAGGTGTTGGGACCAGTGAACGAGAGAAAGCTCACACACATGGTGCCCAGGTTCAAGATGCCCTTGGCAGACCACTAGACTAAGAGGACTGCTGGTCTTCTGACAACACTCCACAGCTAACTGTATCATTGCCATCAATACATAGGTGGCACCATCATTACAGGCCCATGTCTGTCCATACCATTTCAAGGCACTTGGGTGAGGAACATTTGATAATGCAGCAGCCATTATGGAAAATATGGATAGTTTCCTATAGAAATTCCTGCTGAAAAGTATCCCTTTTGAGCGTGATGGCTTTGACATGGCTAATCATCACTCCTCCTCATGTTTTGTCTGTAATCTTAAAATTTTGGATAATGATTTACTTTTGTGCTCAGTATTTGAAAAATGCTCATTTTTATTGTTATGGTGTTGGTTATGCTACTTTCCATAAATTTAGTAAAACTTATAAAAAAAAGTTGGAAATGTGGATCTTGTAGATCAGTGAAGACTACAAAAGGAAATGTAAATTCAACTTTGGAATTGGGACAAGATAATGATTTAGGTGAGCAACTTTACTTTATCTCTCCAGTTAGTAACAAACTGATTGATTGTAATAATAAGCAATGTAACCTAGTGCTCACTCCAATGACACCCAAGTGTAACAAGTCAACCCAGTTTGATAAATTATTTTTAGAAATTAAACAAATTTATAATTTATCTGGAGAATATAAATCAAACAAATAAAAGCATAAAGGATTTGATTCAATTTTTATCAGATAAATTTGATAAAATTAATGACCATATTAACTCTCTAGAGATAAACAATAAAAGACTTTTTACTGATATTTCAGATTTAAAATAAAAAAATTCTACAATGAAACGAGAATTAAATATAACACAAGAAAAATTAAGGTCTATGGAGCAAGATGTTAATAATTCAAGTTTAGAAATTGCTGGACTTCCTACTTTGTTAAATAAAAATTTAATTGATATTGTTTATAAAGTAATGACATATGTGGATAATATATTTGATTAATTATCTATTGTAAATGCCTATAGGCCTAAACTCCTTTCAAGAAAAAGAAATTCAATGCCATGTAAATTAAAGCCGACTATAGTGAAATTAGCTAATATTATATTGATAAAATTAAAAAAAATAAACTCAACATTACTTCTAATGCATGTAATATAATTAATGAAGAACATAAAATTTATATAAATGATCATCTTACACCATATGATAGAAATCTTTTTTTTTTTTTTATAAAATTAGAGTTTTAAAGAAGGAGGGGGAAATATTAAATACTTGAACTAAAAATGGTATAATTTACATAAAGATTAATGCAACCTCTCCACCTTCACAAGTGTCTATGTTAGAGTATATTGACAGTTTATTTCCTGATGGAAGATCTATTAAAAATAACTAATTTTGATAGGGATGGACTCTATATATTTTATAGTAATGTAAGATGTTTAAATAATAAATATTAGGAGATAAATTATATTATTTCTGGATATGACAATATCTGTCAATAAAATTTTGATTGTGATTGTTTACCGATCTCCGGCTTCAAACTACAGTTTATTTTTCGATGTAGTAAATTTTATAATTCATTTCAGTATTATTAAAGTAAGGGACTATAAATTACTTATCATTAGCGATTTTAATATAGATCTACTTAAAGATTCTTTGATAAGTACTTGTGACTTGTTAAACTTTTGTTTTTCTGAAAATTTATCTCTTTTGACTGATCAGAGGCAACCAACCAGATTTGATAAAGATACTCACTCCTTGATTGACTTCAGGTTAATCAATGTTGGTGAGACAAAATTTTTAATTCACCAGGATTTATTGTCGGATCATATGCCTACAGTTTTCTTTCTCCCGAGGAAATATATGGAAATAGGTAGTAATTTGTTAAAAACACATAGGAAAATAAATAATATGTCAATACTTCTTTTACGTAATGCACTGTCAGCTTGTTTCGCTTGGGATTACTATTATTCCTCAGATCTTTCTGTTAACCAATTGATGGATTACTTTCAGGATATCTGCAGATTTTTATTAATAAATATCTTCCCATTATAACACTAAATAAGAAAACCAAGATAAAGCAAAAGGCATTTTTGGCAAAAATTATTTCAAGTGATACAATAAAGTTAATTAGCTGAAAGAAGAGGTTGTTCAAGCAACTAAACAAGTGTTGTATTTCAGGAGATCGATGTGCAAGAATATTAATGGAAGTGAGAAGGATATCCAAGGATATTAAAAATAAAATTAGGAAAGAAGAGGTAGATTACTATGACAGACAATTCTCTAATATACATTCCTTGATAGAGTTTTGGCAGGAGATTAAACATCTGCCTATCGATGTAGTTAAAACACAGGACATACAAATTAATCAGTTGAAGTATAATGGAAAAACTTCTCAAAATGAAGAAAAACTAAGTACTATTTTTGCTAATCACTATAGACAGATGGGAGGTTTTGTCATATCAACCTTAAAAACTAATTCTTCCTCACATTCCTCTTCATGTGGTATGGTTGATTCTTTTGCTTTGAATGAAACTTCTCCTAAAGAGATTTTTTATTATATTATGAGGGTAAAAGCTAATACTCCAGACATTGATAAGTTAAATATATTTATTCTAAGACAAATAGCTGATATTATCACTTTACCATTATCTTATTTAATTAATAAATCCTTCAAGTGTGGGAGGTTTCAGGAGAAGCTCAAACACAATCTTGTAATACTAATATTTAAAAATAAAGGATTTGAACAGGACTTGGAGAGCTATCATCTGATTACTATCATTCAGAGTATAACTAAAATAATTGAAATGGCTTTCTATAAGAGATGTTTTGGATTTGTTAATAAATATAATATTATATCTAATAACCAGTATGGTTTTAAAAGAGATGCCTCTACAATTGATGCATAAACTCATCTTAAACAATATATTATTGAAGATCTCAATAATTCAAATATAGTGACAGCAGTGTTTATCAACCTAAGGCTTTTGATAGCATAGCTATCAGAGTATTAAAACAAAAATTGTTTAAAGTCGGATTGAAAGGAGTGCCATTGGAGAGCTGATATCCTATTTATCAAATCATATGTTCTGTACTATGTTAAGGTAAAAAATTCAATATCTAAACCTTTTCAAGTGAATAAAGGTGTCCCACAGAGATCCATTCTGGGATCTTTACATTTTTAATATTTACATAAATGATATTATAGAAACTATTCCTGAAAATAATAATATATTGTATGCAATTATATTGTTATAACCTATGCAGATTGGAATCTTAAATTAATTGAAAATAATATAAATTCATTGCTGGCTAAATTAAGTAAATATATGGCAAATAATAACTTTAGAATAAATGAGAATAAAACAAAATATATTTGTTTGTCAAATAAAAACAAAAAAGTCAATTTAGATGATATACAAGTAAGAATTAATAATAAATGTATTCAAAGAGTTAATACTGTAAAATATTTGGGTATTGAAATTGATGATAAATTACAATGGAACAATCATATAAATAATCTAACACTGTCTTTATTTAAAGCTGTCTAAAAACAAGTTCTTTTAGACAGCTTTAAACTAATAAAGGTTGGCAGGAAAGAATCTTATATAAGTGATGAGTTAAATAAACACTCTAGGCCCTCTAACTACAACTATCAATGGGAAAATAATTTGATTCTACCAAAATTTAAGCACTGTTTTGGCCAAGATGCACCAATCTACCAATTCATATATAACTGCAATGCTTTAAAAGAAGAATGTAAAGATCTGAGAACTTATGGGCAATTTAAACAAGTTGTTAAAAAATGGAATGGAATGGAATTCATTCTCAAGAAAAATTTTTAAAGCATAAATTATTACCTTATAATAAAATATCTAAGAATAAAACAATAAAAATGATTTAAATATTTTAATAAATAATAAAATAAAAAATTTAAGTTAAAAATGCATTAGTTTATATATAAACTAATGCATTTTTAACTGAAATATATACATACAGGTTATTTTATAAATAAGTTACATGAGATTAAAGTTTTTATAAATCATTTAAATATTTTTGAAGCCAAAACTTATACATGTAGTACAAGGACAATCAGATAGACAAGGTAGTTAAAGATTCAACCTTCTGCTCTAGAGACTTACAAATGAATCTGGGAAAGTAACTAACTCCCCAGATATTTTTCATAAGTAGTCTTGTTCCAAATACGTTGGGCCCTATCCCCTTTACCACTTGGCTACCAAATTGTGGACCTAGCCAAACCAACAACAGGTATGAAAAAAAAAATCTTAGAACATACAAGGCTGAGAGAGCCATAAATAAAATTTACATAAATATATATATATACATACATACAGTGGGTGATTGGTTACTGAACATAATCTGTTCCAAGACTTTGTTCGCTATCCAAATTGTTCGTTAACCGATTATCGATTTACCATAGGTTTCTATGGGAATTTGATTAATTCGTTCTGGAGACTCCCAAAAAATAAAAAATATATACTTTCTTACNAGTACAAAACAATGTACCGACTCAACTAATAAAGGAATTTGGTGGAAAACTATATATATATATATAAATTCACTGAATTACTGCAACTATGATATAGCATGAAACAGATGCACCATTATGCCATTACAGCAACAGGTAGCACATAGCACTTGTCTACATGGAGTGTAGTAGTGTTTTGCCCCCATACATCATACTTTTCCTGTTAGCAATAGAGTCATGTTGGTCATCTATCTAACTCCATTAGGGGGGAATTTTGAACCTAAGTAACACTACTTCTGTTCCAAACTGGAAGTACATATAAAGTTAATCTGGGCGTCTTGGTTTAAGCTTTCCAGATCTGGTCTCAACTTTCATCTATCTAACTCCTTTCATGAGATTAAGGAAGGACGGACAGACAGACAGAATGACAGTCAAAATTTACAGGTCCACAATTTTTTCAAATTGCAGCCCAATAATTTTTCTATAAATGCAATATTTACAAGAACACACTTCCTGCATAGTTTATACAATCTTTTGCCAAAATTTAAACACTTTATTATCAAATAAAAAGCAATTATTCTCAATTTTTATAAGGTTTTTTTTATTTAAATAAGTCTCATATATGAAGTCTTTTAAATATTAAGATTAGCAACTTTGATCACATGCCTAACATGGATTATTTTTTAAATATTAATAGTAGTATTAATATAGTCGTTAGTAGTCGTTAATTAGTATTAATTAGTAGTCGTTGAACAAACACTTTCCCAGAATGAGGCCAACTACTACTTTTGGTCAAATTACTTTGATCCCTTCTTTCTATCGGAAAAGTGGTGTGATGGCATTTGAATGGGTAAATTACATAATACAAAGTTACCGGTAAGTGCAAAATACAATTTAAGTGGTTTTCAAGAGTTTCAAGTTTAAATATTTGGTTTGTTTTTTCAAAATTTGATTTGTTGACAAATTACCATTTGATATTAGGGCCATAAATGGCACAGTTTCTTAGAGTTAACATTAGGAAAAATTATGTTATCTTAAATTTTTTAAGATATCGTATTTCCAATTGGTGTCTACTTGACCAATGAAATTGTCATTTTGTACCATCCAAGTATCGTAATAAACATGACAATGGTAGGTTGAAATAACCAAACTTTTTATATGGTTTTTGTTTTAATGTTTGTTATATCATAATATTTGATTTATATTTACAAAAGTTATCTTACGTAAGGGTTTATCACACCGAATGACCAATCTAACCTGAAATTAGTATAAAATTTTTATTTACCTAACTCTATTCCTTTAGCTTTTTTAAAATTATTTATAGCTGTAGCCTGGATAATTTCTCTCACAATGCAGTATCTAAATAAAAATAATACACACCACAGTAAATATTTTTAAGAATCAATACAGTATTTATTTTCAATTATTTTCAAAATTTTAATTTTTTGATAAATTCAAAACTCAATAAGCACATTAGTAATGAAATATATTTGACTAGAAATTAGAAGAAATATTAATTATCTAAACATACAAAACATTGCTATCTTTAAGAATACTAAAAATGGAGTTAATATTTGAAATGTTTTCAACCAGCCACCTTTAGCAAATGACACTTCATAAATGGAATAGAATATTTCAAATGACACAGAACTGATTAGAAAGCCTGTAAATGCTCATCAGTATTAGTCAATATAGTATCAGAACTAGTCATATTTATCAGAAAAATTAACAAAACATGATAATATTGTACTATATTTTGTTAATTTTTCTGATAAATGACATAATGCTGGTCAAACATCAAAGAAAAATAGCATTTGCTTATAAACAAAGGTCAATAGATTTTTTCACAAAAATTGAAGTTAAACAGAATAGTACTGATAAGCATTTACAGAATCTCTATTCAATTCTTCTTGTCATTTAAAACACATTCTATTCCATTTGTATAGTTAGTTATTTACTGAAGGTAAACAAAGTTAAGGCAAATTGCTATTTTTAATATTATCAAAAACTGTTTAACATTTTCATATGTTAAACAGTTTTTGATAATATTAAATATAGCAATTTTATTTACTTACTACATAATGTAGTAAAGTAAACAAAATTGTTAATTTTTATCCAAATTTTGATTACTTTTTCTCAAGAAAATATTAAATAGTTTTAAGGATATAGTTAATAATTAGATAATTATGGTAACTATTCTATAATCTTAATATTTTAATTTTCAAAATTAGCTTATCATTACTTAATTAAATATTATTTTCTTACTTTTTGCCTGTTAACTAAACATTAATAAATGTTTAGTTAACAGGCAAAAAGTAAACAAAAATTATACTATTATTTCTGAAATCTTTTCTAAAGTCAAAATGTCAAACCCAAAATAATTTGAAAAACTATTTAAAAATTTAAATGAGATAGTTTTCATTTTACTGATTATAATTTGTTCTGTCTTTAAATTAACTGTAAAGTGTAATTATTTTTAAATACAGTAGAGCATTGATTATCCAAATGTCAATCAACCGAAACGTCGGTTAACCAAAAGCGTTCCAGTCAGACTGTGTCCTGCTGAATCGAACATTTTTGATACTAGATTAACTTTTAAAGTATAATTATTTTTGTTTTTATATTTTTCAATATATTTATTTTGTTTGTACAAAATAAAAAATAATTTTTAAGGATACAATAGCCACGATTATTATTATAAAAATTTTCATTAGGCTTAACATCGATGAAAATTCAATGCAAAGCAACACACAAGGGAGAAAAATTTTTAAATGAAATATATTAATATACTATTATTGGGATATACTAATATACTATATTAATAATGTATTTTTTTGTACATAATCAGTTATCCGAAAAATCAATTTTCCAAACAACCCCAGTCCCCAATTGATTCGGATAATCGACGCTCTACTGTATAACATTTCCTTTTGAAACTTATTTGCTTAGTATATATTTTGATTTCTACCAATTCTTCTCAGAATTCTAAAAAAATTAGCTCAACTAAAGAAAATTTTTCTACAAAAATTTCTTGTATTACACATATGATTATTATTGCTAAAAACTCATCTCTTATTTCTTTAAATCTACATATATAAATGAGGATATTTATTTGTTTATTCGATATGCATGCTTAGGCCATTTGACCAATTGCTACAAAACTCAGCAGTTATGTTCAAATAATTCTATACAAAAAGGGGGAGGAAGGTGAAAAAGGAGGCGGAAACAGCTAAAAATTTTTACAGTTGTATTATATCAAAATCTACCTAAAAGGGAAGATTCTAGAAGATTTTAACCTTTTAATTTGTAATATATACTAGTTTATTTACAAATTAAATTACAATATAGATTTTACATGTTTTAAATTATACAAAGTGTAGCCAAAAGTTGACTGAAGAGGGGCAAAGCCCGAAACGAGTACAAAACAATGTACCGACTCAACTAATAAAGGAATTTGGTGGAAAACTATATATATATATATAAATTCACTGAATTACTGCAACTATGATATAGCATGAAACAGATGCACCATTATGCCATTACAGCAACAGGTAGCACATAGCACTTGTCTACATGGAGTGTAGTAGTGTTTTGCCCCCATACATCATACTTTTCCTGTTAGCAATAGAGTCATGTTGGTCATCTATCTAACTCCATTAGGGGGGAATTTTGAACCTAAGTAACACTACTTCTGTTCCAAACTGGAAGTACATATAAAGTTAATCTGGGCGTCTTGGTTTAAGCTTTCCAGATCTGGTCTCAACTTTCATCTATCTAACTCCTTTCATGAGATTAAGGAAGGACGGACAGACAGACAGACTGACAGTCAAAATTTACAGGTCCACAATTTTTTCAAATTGCAGCCCAATAATTTTTCTATAAATGCAATATTTACAAGAACACACTTCCTGCATAGTTTATACAATCTTTTGCCAAAATTTAAACACTTTATTATCAAATAAAAAGCAATTATTCTCAATTTTTATAAGGTTTTTTTTATTTAAATAAGTCTCATATATGAAGTCTTTTAAATATTAAGATTAGCAACTTTGATCACATGCCTAACATGGATTATTTTTTAAATATTAATAGTAGTATTAATATAGTCGTTAGTAGTCGTTAATTAGTATTAATTAGTAGTCGTTGAACAAACACTTTCCCAGAATGAGGCCAACTACTACTTTTGGTCAAATTACTTTGATCCCTTCTTTCTATCGGAAAAGTGGTGTGATGGCATTTGAATGGGTAAATTACATAATACAAAGTTACCGGTAAGTGCAAAATACAATTTAAGTGGTTTTCAAGAGTTTCAAGTTTAAATATTTGGTTTGTTTTTTCAAAATTTGATTTGTTGACAAATTACCATTTGATATTAGGGCCATAAATGGCACAGTTTCTTAGAGTTAACATTAGGAAAAATTATGTTATCTTAAATTTTTTAAGATATCGTATTTCCAATTGGTGTCTACTTGACCAATGAAATTGTCATTTTGTACCATCCAAGTATCGTAATAAACATGACAATGGTAGGTTGAAATAACCAAACTTTTTATATGGTTTTTGTTTTAATGTTTGTTATATCATAATATTTGATTTATATAACTACAAAAGTTATCTTACGTAAGGGTTTATCACACCGAATGACCAATCTAACACATTTTAAAAATTCTTTATTCCTCTACTGTACACAATTTTAAAAAAGTGTTAGATTGGTCACTCGGTGTGATAAACCCTTATGTAAGATAATCTTTGTAAATATAAATCAAATACTGTACTATAATATAATATAAGAGTTAGAAGTATGAAATAATCGAATAATCTTTATCTTTGCTGTTTTTATTTTTTTCCTGAGCAACGCTGGGCTCATCTGCTAGTTCTATATAAAACCTAATTAATATGATTTGAAATAACTAAATATTTTGAAGAAAAACTCTACATCACAGCAAACATGTTTATAAATCATTTAAATAAATTAGTATATTCTAAAATATCAAATAAATTTTACCTTATCCGTTTAATGTCTTCTACATTCCCGCAGTCTTGTATTATACGAATAAAATCTTCAAATGTTTCGGCATAAGAATATGTCCTGTTATGATGTTCCATTTCTTTTTGTTGCCATTGTAAGTATCCAATGAGTTTACGATTGATATAATCAGGATCACATATGGTGTCAATCAGATTATAGACAACTAAATGTAATTAATATAATTATGTATTAAAATAAATAAATATTAACAATAAATATGAAACCATTATTTGTGTTAAGATAATTACTCATTGAATATTTTCAGTCCTTTTCATTGACCTTCATCAGGAGATAAATTCTAAAATTTAACAAGGAAGAACAGAGTCACTTGTATTCTAAAAACTGTTTTTACAACATATCCATTTATGGAATAATACAAATTTTTAAAAATGTGCATGTAGGTTATTTTTACATATTACAAAATATCACACAATATTTGACAAAATCAAAAATATATAAAATGTCTATTACTCATAGTGAAATAACCCAAGCCTAGAAACACTCTAAATTATACTTTTCATACTTATACTCTTGCCCCTGCCATTTGCAATCTAACTACTGTCCATCTTTTAGCATTCCCTTATACCATTCACTTTTAAATTTTATTTATTAATGCTTTCCAGGCTGGTGAAACCATGGTGTTTTCTTTATAATTTACTTCTTGTTTCTGTAGCCTTATGGATGTGCTATGCTTTGGCATATTTAATCCATTGCTTATCCTGAACATTTTGGATCATTTCTGCTTGGTTCCATTCTATAGTTACAGAATCTGGTTCTGTTCTGGCATAGGTCACTAAGGTTGTAACTGGCTGCTCCTTTTGGATGTTACATTTACGTTCTTTGATCCTCTGTTTTAGTAATCTAGTAGTGGCTCCTATGTAGTATAAGTCATTAGGCCTTTTACTGACTTTTATTGGTATTCTGTATGCACCAGGAATGCATGTTGGGCACATCAGGTTGGGGTCAAAAGAAAAACAATAAAGAAAATGATAAACAAATGGAGAACAGATGACATGGAGATGAGAAGACATGATATACAGAACGAGTTTGCTGTCATTGAATACATGGTAACTCTACACAATATCTACAGAGAAATCATGATTGAAATTATTTAATTATTTATGTTTAAAAGAAATGCCATGTTATACAGAATGCTAAAAAACAACAAAGAGGCAATGACCAGAAAATGTTCGATGAGTAAATATTTTACTGCATTAATAATGGTTCTGTTGTTTTTTGTTTTGATAGTGCAGCTACAGAAAGGATTAAATAAATATTAACAATAAATATGAAACCATTATTTGTGTTAAGATAATTACTCATTGAATATTTTTTAATATATCGCTTTAGGTTTCTTGCTTGTAGTAAATCCCCTTTTGCTTTTGTTTGTGGGCTGAACTCTTTATCTATAAAGATTAAAATTATTCAAGTAAAATTACTTTCACACGTGATTACTATGATTGACATAAGTAAATGCAAAATATTTTACTATTTTGCATTTACTTATTTTTTCTGTGTAAAATCCATATCAGAATAATTGTCTATTTCATTTACATAAATTTCACTGAAAATTATTACAACAAATATACTGTACTATTTTTATGATGTATTGTTTCATTTTAATCATTTTAATGATGCAGCATCTATTTTTCTCATTCTGCAACAAGAATGAGAAAAATAATTACATAAAGTTCACTATAAACATTAATTTAATATTGTGATTCCACCCTTAAAATATTGTTCACTTACATATGTAAAACTTTTTTTGATATTTTTAAAATATTTTATGTTCTTTTCAATCTAAACCAAGTACACTCATTGCCATAAAAATTAACACACCAAGGAGTTGTAATGTCACTGCAAAACTTGGCATGAAGATAAATCTCAAACAGATAAGAAAGTAATTATAGATATAGCATGATGGCTCATTGCATAATGTCAGCAGAAGATGTCAAAGTGCATCTCTCTTGGCCTATAAAAAAGAACACAAATGCATCCTGTCTGTAGTTTACCTATTGTAAAGACACTGTATCACTGAGATGCCTTTACATCATAATTGAAGATCATATGAACAACTAACTGAGTTTGAGAGGAGATGGATCATTGGGTTGAGAGGAGATGGATGGTCATCTTGCTGAATAGCCTGCCACTAAACTGTTCTGACAACACTGTGAGCAGGTGTTGGGACCAGTGAACGAGAGAAAGCTCACACACATGGTGCCCAGGTTCAAGATGCCCTTGGCAGACCACTAGACTAAGAGGACTGCTGGTCTTCTGACAACACTCCACAGCTAACTGTATCATTGCCATCAATACATAGGTGGCACCATCATTACAGGCCCATGTCTGTCCATACCATTTCAAGGCACTTGGGTGAGGAACATTTGATAATGCAGCAGCCATTATGGAAAATATGGATAGTTTCCTATAGAAATTCCTGCTGAAAAGTATCCCTTTTGAGCGTGATGGCTTTGACATGGCTAATCATCACTCCTCCTCATGTTTTGTCTGTAATCTTAAAATTTTGGATAATGATTTACTTTTGTGCTCAGTATTTGAAAAATGCTCATTTTTATTGTTATGGTGTTGGTTATGCTACTTTCCATAAATTTAGTAAAACTTATAAAAAAAAGTTGGAAATGTGGATCTTGTAGATCAGTGAAGACTACAAAAGGAAATGTAAATTCAACTTTGGAATTGGGACAAGATAATGATTTAGGTGAGCAACTTTACTTTATCTCTCCAGTTAGTAACAAACTGATTGATTGTAATAATAAGCAATGTAACCTAGTGCTCACTCCAATGACACCCAAGTGTAACAAGTCAACCCAGTTTGATAAATTATTTTTAGAAATTAAACAAATTTATAATTTATCTGGAGAATATAAATCAAACAAATAAAAGCATAAAGGATTTGATTCAATTTTTATCAGATAAATTTGATAAAATTAATGACCATATTAACTCTCTAGAGATAAACAATAAAAGACTTTTTACTGATATTTCAGATTTAAAATAAAAAAATTCTACAATGAAACGAGAATTAAATATAACACAAGAAAAATTAAGGTCTATGGAGCAAGATGTTAATAATTCAAGTTTAGAAATTGCTGGACTTCCTACTTTGTTAAATAAAAATTTAATTGATATTGTTTATAAAGTAATGACATATGTGGATAATATATTTGATTAATTATCTATTGTAAATGCCTATAGGCCTAAACTCCTTTCAAGAAAAAGAAATTCAATGCCATGTAAATTAAAGCCGACTATAGTGAAATTAGCTAATATTATATCAAAGCAAAAAATTATTGATAAAATTAAAAAAAATAAACTCAACATTACTTCTAATGCATGTAATATAATTAATGAAGAACATAAAATTTATATAAATGATCATCTTACACCATATGATAGAAATCTTTTTTTTTTTTTTAAACTAGAGTTTTAAAAAAGGAGGGGAAAATACTAAATACTTGGACCAAAAATGGNTTGGCAGTTTGCAATTGTTGTGGAGCACATATCCTCAAAGCACAGCCAGGGTGTTTTGACTTTATCATCTGCTGCAACTTCATAAGCATTCTGATCTAGTGAAGTGGAGAAACGAGCATTCACAGTTGCTCCTTTCTCCAGGAACTCAATAAAGAGTGGCCCATGTTGATTGAAAAACAATGTCATCATTACCATACCCACATTGTCCTGTATGGCCTTGGACTTCTTTGATAGCATGAGTCAGCATATTTTCATTGACAGCTCTGCCTTTTTGTTTCAGGCTGGTAATGATGACACCATGTCTCATCCCATCATTATGTATGATATAAACAAGTCACTCTGTAGCTGATATTGCTGCAGATGCTGCAGAACAATAAAAATGCAATAGCTCATTTGATCATCATTAAGGTTATGGGAAATCCAATAAGTATGGATTTTCTGATACTATAGTCCATTAGTGATAATGTGATGGATGATGGTATTGTGAATAACACACACTAATGACGCATGTGATTTCATCCACAGTGGGGCACCAGTTACCTCAAATTAAGTATTCCACATGCACAACAACATAGATTTTTATGGTTGTCCCAGCCAGTTGACATTATGACTGAGGAAAGTGCGGCCTTCTAGGAACCATTGTCGCCATATGTGCACTTGTGTCTAGTCCATGCAATAATCAAAGTACACTGCTTTCATCCATTTATGAATCTGCTTGCTTCCAACACCTTCCACTGTTAAAAAATATACAATGTGCTTTGTCTTTGCTGGCTTCCATTTTAATGGTAGGACAGTGAGTATCCTGTCACCAACAGTGTTTGCATGCACTATATATCACATGATGCATTACATTGTGTCATGTGACTGTTAAGTAGGTTGTCAAGTATACTATCTTCCTTTCCATGAGGCAAAACTCACCAGGGCCGTGTTCAGTAATGCAAAATTCTTGCTAAGTCTAGTTAGGCTGCGATGTTGAACTCATTTCTGACTACTGCTTGACTCCTTCCACCGCCAGAATTCTAGCTAGTTCAGTCAGCTTCTTTTATCTATGCTAACTTCTACTAGTGACATCATTGTTTTTGTCTCGTCATACGATTTGCAAGATGGCTGCTCATGTTGGAATAAACGTATCTTATTATAACAATCACAAAGTTATTCTCTCATTCTAAGTCATTAAATCAATCTAAAATGACTTCAAAATGTAAAATATCATGTCTGTATAACAGATTCAGAATACATTTTAATGAAAGATAGCAATCCATTTCGTTGATTAAAATAAATAATTGCTTCATTAATTTCATCACGATCTGACGCAGCTTTCATTTGAATAATTGTATTATTACTTCATCCTTTTTGACCAGTTTGTTTGCGACAATTGTTGCAATCATAATTTTAACTTCATCCACCATTTTGTTCAGTTGTCTAAAAGAATAATCGTTCAATGATGCTCAGAACATTCTTAGCTCCGCCCACTAAGCCACTCAGAATTCTAACTTAGGTGTTCTGCATTACTGAACACGGCCCAGGATCACCATCACATTTCTACTATCACTTATATTTGATAACATTCCTGAAAGTCCTGATAAATTCGAAGCAATATTGCCATGATAATATATAGAAAAAATAAACATTGGCACAGAAAGACACTTCAAGTTCTACTTTGTGCCTTAA